CACCAAAAAGCTTCACAGCAAGTGTCTGTCTGTGACCGCGATCTTGCCTAGAGGAAGCCACAACCACGTGTCAGAGCAGGGAAGATGACCGTGGGTCGTGTTTGTCACCCGATGCGGAGTTCGTGAACAGATTCGTGAACTGAATTGTTCGTGAACAGAAGCATTCATGAACCGAGGTATTACTGTAATGTTAATTTCATTTATACCACCTTAAAATCTATGTATCAGCAGTAAATATTGACACAGTGGGAGAAAAATGTCTGATATTGGTAGATATGAGCCATTTTGAGTTGGGGAGTTCATTTATACATAAGTCTAGCCTAGCAGTGTCACAAGAAAGGAAAATCTAAAGAATAATTAATAAATAATAGCCTGTTGTGTCCGGAGGAGCACATCAGAGCAAAGCTTCTAACAGTGGACGTTGGAGATTCAAGACATGTCTGGATGATAAATTATTGTTTGGTTCCATACTTTCAGAGAAGCTTACATGGGGTCCAGCTCACAGACTTGTGTAAGTGATGAATTGACCACTCAGTATAAATAAGCTAAACAGATCCTCTTAAGAATGTTAAACTTACAAGAACAAAGGATCTCAAAGTTTCCAAAAGGAATGCAGTTTGCTCTGAAAGGACCCGTTCTACTGAATGATTAACAGTCAGCTCTGCTAGTAACAAAATTGACATCTATCTATCTATCTATCTATCTATCTATCTATCTATCTATCTATCTATCTCACATATACAGAAATGGCATTACAACTTTTTGCAAAATTTCAAATCCAGCAATTGGCATTTTTAAGCCCTCCTACACATTTTGGACAACTCATTTTGTTATAGTGTTCAAGTGATATCAACAGTGTTGGCCTGCCATCTTATATATTAGGTGGCCAGCCAGATCAGTTACAGCTCCCAGCACACTACTAGTCATGCTAGCTGGAATTGCTATGAACTGTAATTCAGCAACATGTGGAGAGCCACAAATCCCCTACCCCCACTGTGCAATTTTTCATGAAGGTAAGGCCCATAGAATACAGTGGATGGGATCTAATGCTGTAGGACTTGTTAGCTGATGCTAATTACTAGTTACTTACTAATTGTTCCATTGCTTCCCTCTACCACTCTGATCAGAGTGCCTTTAATGTGGGTGTGTGGAAAGATGAAGATTTATGGTGTGTGAATTATTTTTCTTTCCCATTTTTTAGATCTGAACTTCATCTCATTTCCATCCCATTCATCCTATTTTGATATCAGTCTGAGATTCTTTTTAAAACTTGTACTTGCTTTCTGACAAGTAAATGTCCCTAAACTCTGTGTATATTACTGGCTCTTTGGTATCTTTTTATAGTATACATTTTTCCCTACATGCATATTGTGTTCACCTAATCTATACAGTTTTGTTTTATTCAACATGAGCACTGTATAGCTAAATTGAGAAACGTGAATTTGAAGGTTGACGTTTCCATCTGCACATTGATTTGAAAGTACAAAATTAGTTATGTTTGCAGACACAAAAAGGGAACTGATCAGTGAGCAAGCAACTAAGATTAATCTGCTAAGCACAAGAGAAAAGGAGCACTGAACTCTGTCAGGCATGGAGACAGAAGAGAAGAGAAGTGAACGACCTGAAAAAAGAAAAAGCTCTCTGCTCAGGAAGAAGAAAGAGAGAAAGAAAAGAAAAGAAAAGAAAAGCAAGATTTGGGCAACTCTTGGTTTGTTGAGCTTTTCCAATTATATCACCCTAGATATGACATAGCAAACCAGCAATAAAACCAAAGACTGCAGCTACGGTTAATCAAAAACACTGACAGCTCAGTAGCCAGAGTGAGATAGCCATTTCAGGACTTTGTTTCAGAAGTAACTCTGTTTCACAGTAGAAGAGGTTTTTCTAAAATAAATAATAAATAAATCGATAAATAAATACATAAATGTAGGTGTGATACTCTTACTGTGATACTCTTCATTTTCAACTCACTAGAGACTTTTTAAAAAACAATGTATAAAAAGACTCCAGATCATGGGCTACTGAAGTAATCCTCATGCTGTGTTCATGAAGATTTGAGTGAGTCCTAACTTAACCTCTCAGAAATAGTTTTGTGACATGGTGACTTCCTTATCTTCCACTTCCATGGGGTCCTTTCAACAGTAAACCTTGAAGTATACATTTCTGTGACAGACCCTTCCTTTGGCTTAGCAATTATAATTTTGTGTTCCATGCCAGATACTTAACATTTACCTTCCTACCAGTAAGTCCCAAATCATGTTCAAAATGCTCTTGGGAGGGTGGTGGGGTTCTATTCATTTAATAAATCTTCCATTATGGATTTCCCTCTTGAGAAAGTAGTATTATAATAGTAGAATTACTACTACTGCTAATTAATAATAACAATAACAATAGTAATTAACATTTGCTAAGCTACCTGACTAGTATTTCTGGCAAAAAAGGTAAAATCCATGCACTGGGGTTTGCAGATTCTAAATATGTTTTTCTGCCAAACGAGGTAAAAGAAAGAGTCTTTTTCTCTCACAATTGCAGCTGGAAGGACAAGGTGTTTCTTTTTCTTCATTGCAACAGGCATTTCACATGCACATCAAATACATTCTGTGAAACTTTCCCCCTCCCTTTTGTGTTGTACCTTTGTAAGCCTGGGGGCAAGGACCATCTTGTTTTTATTGATCTGGAAGCAATTCTGCAAGGCTTTCCTGCTGAAGAGCAGAGTACAAGTGCATTACATAATTAGATAAATAATAAAAGATCAAAGGCCCTCTTTGTATTTTGAGAAAAATCCATGATGTACCTCGCTTTAAAAAATACAGACCAACTTCAAAGAAAGCAATAGTAAATTCTCAGTGAGTCATGTCTTCTGTTCTACAGTATTACTGGATTTCACTGTATGTTCTCATTCTCCTTCAAAAACTCTACAGTCTGTAATACAGATGGGAATTATGAATGGGGAACCTCAGGGCATTATCTCTCTAAAAGGGCTTTGAAGGCGACTATGTTGCAAATATACTTAAAAGAATAATATGAATCATTAGAGCAGGAGGTTTTCTCTCAACAGGATTAAAAGGCTGTTAGTTATCATTTTTGCTCAATTGCTCTCATAATTATCCTATTTGGGTGGTAAAGCTCAATTAGGGGGAAAAGGAAGTACGATATCTTCCCAGGAGAATTTTATGAGGACTGAAAATGTTTGCATAATCATATATATGATGATAGAGATTTACATATAAAATGCATGGGGCCATGGTTCTGTAATGTAACCTTTTGATTTCATTTATTATTTTATGCGTTTTTCTTAAAATAATTATCACTGCTTTGCTTTGCAGTTATTATTCTTGACCTAATGTGTTGAACTTGTGCTAGATATTAATAGGAAAGGTGTGATAAAAGAGTAGGCTAGATGGAGAGAGCTAAGAATAAGACATTAACTGCAGAACAAATAAGGGTGGCTGTTATTAGAAGACTATGTTAATGGTTGTGACTGAGATGATGAGGCTTCAAAAAACTCCTGGAATTTTCAGTAGCTGAATTCTAAAATTTAAAGGACAGCTGATTCCTAGAAAAATATAACCTGCAGATCAACACATGATTACCTCATGGATTAAGACAGAAAACTAATCAAGAAGACAGCTGTCAGCTGCATAATCTGTGTACCGTGTGCATTAGCAGAGACATCAGCGCTGGAAGCAATGTGTTCTAGAAGATTCAAGAAAGGTGAGAAAGAAGATGTATAAATATTTCACCTGAGAAGCAACTGGCAAAGATGCTCCCATTACAAGACATCATCAGTGTTTCTGTTCCTGCTGCTTCTCTCAGTCATCAGCCCTGTCACCAACTGGCTACATTTTCTCTTCCCTCATCTACAGGACTAGTCACTCTCTATAGTTGAGAAGTTGTATATAATACAAAGAGATAAATTAGGAGCAACTGTAATTTATTTTCTGTTATTCATTTCCAGCAATAACACTTACATCCCTATATTTTAACCTAAATCAGCTCTTCAACAATGTCATTTGGCATAGCACTCAATAAAGTAACGATTCAGTAATGGCTCATTTTAATCCTTGTCTCAGACTCCTATGGCAATATATCAAAAATCTTACTGTGAGTTGGCAGCCTAAATTTAGACTCTCCTTCTAGATAAGCTTCCTGTTTTAAGCAAGTGATTCTGCAAATACACAATTAAATTGTTGGCAGTAAGTCATGCAACAGAGAGGCCAGCTTTTTGAGCCATTCTATATTGCCAACTCTTTCTCTTGGAGGACTAACTGGCAGGCTTTGGAAACTGCTTCTTATTTGATCAGATTTTGGTGTGTTTGCTGGTCACCTGACTGGGATAAGGATAAGGCAATTTCAAACAACCCCAGAGCTACTTTGGGTTGAAACTAACCCTCTCCTGCCCCACTTGGGTTTTTGTGTGCTATATGAACAGAGCCAGTCAGTGGCACTGAAGCAGCCTATTTGTCTAAAAAAAGAATGGAAATTAGATTAAACTGGTATGAATGGGAGCCCCACTGATTCCATTCTCAGTTCTTACATTTGTTCCATTTCAGATTGGGGGTAAGTTTCCTTTCTATGATTATGGCAATTACGTGTTCAAGTCTGTGGTGATTTGTAGCAACTGCTATTTTATGTACCCAAATGCACTATGTTATTCCATGGGGATAGGAAGAATAGTAACTGTCTCAAAAATGAAAAACAGAGTCAACAGGTAGCTGAATGTGTTGGTTTTTGAGTGGGCTATTCCTATAATTATCCAGGGCATTTTTGCTCCAAGAGGTCTTCCACTCACCACCAACCTGTTGGATTCCAGATGTTTTAGGATTACAGCTCATAGAATGCTCACCAGCATCCTCTGGTGACTGGAAAAGGAATTCCAGAAGTTGTAATCCCAACGTACAGAGGGGGCACCAGAATGGGAAATGCTACTCTAACTAGAGTTACCAGATCTGGACTTTAAGAATCCAGAGTTTCTTGTATCACTTTGCTACAATCGACCGGTCATCTGGATTTTTACAGCCCAGATCTGGTAGCTCTTTGTGTCTTCATACTTATTTAAAGTATCTTTCCAAATTACTCCCAGAAGACTCTGTGGTTTGGCCTTTGTAGTTTGTCAAGTAATTATTTGATAATTGGACGTTTTCTCAAATGATTCATGAATATAGCAATTCCACTCCAAGATTTTTTTTAACAAACCATACAAAATGGTCTTTAATAATAGAGCATAGACTAATTTTAAATACTGTACATTACTATCTGCAGTTCAAACTCAAACTTTAAGTTTACCTTAAATATATTTTCTGATGCACTTGGTCTACAGACTCAGCTGTAGAAAGTGGGAAAAAGGTCTTCCAAGATGATTAGCTATTGTCAATGTTGTTCAACAAATATTAGACAATTTCAGGATTCAACCCTATTTTTTTTTCTGAGCAGTGAAAAAGATCCAAAATGTGAAAGAAATGCAAATGCAGAACCAAAAGCATAAACACCACACACACTTGTATAGTTTCACTTTATACAGAACGTTTTGGAAAATGAGCTTTATAACTGATGTACAACAATGCAAACCCAAACTGTCCAAAAGCAAGAACAGAGAAATCTGTTAACTTTCACTTTTTTTCCATATGCCCTTTTTTCATTTGCAAATTTCTACCATTTATAAAGAAATCTGTGAATTTTAGGAACTTCTTAAAAAAGAAAACACTACATCAAATAATATTATTCTAAATTTTCACTGGCTAAATTCATTAAGGCTAGCTATTCCCATATAAAGAGAACTATGTTATGTAGTTCTACAAGCTTGCCATGGATCTGGTAAAAATAAGGAACTTTCCAGGGGGGAGTGGGAAAGTAAAAAGACTTGAAAAAAGTGATTTAATACCACCACCATGGCTGAAAAACCATAGGAATTCAAACAGGGAGAGTGCCTTCTCTGCCCTATTCCTAAATAGAATCAGAACTCAGTCAACTGGTATCATAGGAAAGATTTTCAAAGGAGGACCCAAAAAGAAGGTCTCTTCTGGAGTAAATACTTTTTTGTACACCTTCCTCACGTGTTGGAGCTCTGCAAGGACCTCTCTCTGATGGCTTGCAATTGAGTTTTGCTGAGGTAGTAAGATTTTCAGTCTACCAGCCCTCATTATGTGCTCTGTGTCGCTGGAACAGGTATCTCTTCAACTGAGTCTCATAGCATCCTTACTGACTGATATTCTTGGAGTTTTTGAATTGTGGACGTTCTCTGGATCAGCCTACTGAATTAGAATACTCATGATACTCGTCTTCTTGACATCTTCCAGCTCCTTTGTCTCTATATGCTGGTTCATTAAGTTGTTACTTAAGATGGGATAAGTCATTTATGAGCTGAGGGATCTACTTGGATGTGGGGATTTATTGACTTTGTATGTATGTATTTATGTATGTATGATGTCCTTCCTTTCCTCTAGGAGCTCAGGACAGCATATCTAATATATCTTTTCTCATTTTTCCCATGAAACCAACTGTATGATATTGATGAAGTTGAAAGGGATTGGCCCAAAGTCAACCATTGAGCATCCATAGTTGAGGGCTTTGAACTTGAGTGCCATAATTCCTAGTCCACCTTAACTACAACATCTCTGCCCTAATGCAGATGCAGAACTGTATATTATTATGAGGGATCTAGATCATGTGGAGGGAGAGAAGCATACACATGCATAATAGGTCTGTCCAGCACTTTGGATTTAGAAGGAAAAAGGTACTTCATAAAATTCAAAATGAACTTGATAAGTTAGAAAAAGAAGCTGAAAATAACAGAATGAAATATAATAAGAACAGTGAGATAAAGGTTAGGGATAACATGCATGAAAAAGATAATGGAATTGTAGTTGCTGAGTATTTATTACCACATTTATCTGCCACTTAATTCCAAAAAAAGGTACCCTTTTTTGGGAATGATGAGTCAGCAGCCCAATGATGCATTAGTCAGGCTGCACTTGTGTGTGTGTGTCAACAAAAGTCAAGATGGCAGTCATGCCTACATGATCAAAGCCTCACCCCTTTTGTACATGTATTAATGCCTCACATATGAATCAGAAGTGAGGCTTCAATCGCACAATTGTAACTGCCATCTTGACTTTTTTGAACTCCCCCATAGATGCCCTGATCAGCAGTTTAATGTGATTACTAAAAAGACAACATGACTTTAGACTGCATAATTTTTAAGGCATGGAAAGTAATGTTTCTAGTATATTCTGCATTGGACAAACCACACCTTGAATACTATTACCACAGTTCTATGGATTATACTTTTAGAATATTCAGAAACACCAGAACAGAACCAGGGAAAGGCAAGTATTAACAAGGTCTTCAAATTAAAGAACAGACTGAGAATGAGGACGTTTAGCTCTGAGAAGGGAACCCTGTTCACTTCCTGTGAGCATCATGGCAAGCTGATGTCCTGCTCATTAGCAGGACAGCATTTGTGAGGGAAATCCTGGGTGGATGCTGGATCTGGACTGGCAAAATTTCTCCGGAAGAAGGAGAGAGAGTTGAGATTACCCATCTGACTCCGGACAGCCACTCCTCATGAGTAGACCACAGAAATTGCTGATTTGCAGTTGGTTTATGAGCAGAGTAGCTGGGAGTTAGGATTTCATCAAGCTCACACTCACAAAGCAGCCTTTCATGGACATTAAGCTCAACTGAGGCTTATTTCTTAATCACC